TCTATGATAGACTACGAGCTACCCATTGCCATTCTTCATTGGTCCCATATTAGTGTGCCGGTTAACCACACACGCTCCACTAACGACCAACAAGGTGCAATGTGCAATTTCATGGATTAGCACCGAATTCACATTTTTCCTAAAGTAACTAAGATTTTGGGAATTTATATAAGTTACTTCGTATTTCATTATACTTTAATGGAAGTTTGTGTCATATTATACCCGTTCGGCTAACGACCCTCCACTAGTCAAGAGTGTGGTGGGTGAGAGTAGACACTCATTCAATCGTCATTTTATAGGCGACTTCCTTAAACACCCCTTATAGACCAGCTTCGTGAATGAGGTTTACTAACGGTAAGACTGACCTTTTACTTATATATATAATATATTAAACTTTTAATTTTATATAGTATAAGTGTCTATTTTACACTTTTAAAATACTAGATGGTCTAATAAATTATACTTTTAATTTTATTAAATACAACCATTACATTATGGATTTATTAATTCTCTTTTAATTACACAATTAGTTAATTTAATAAAGTCATAAGGGTCCAATTTGAACTATTCAAATTACTAGGGTTTTAGAATTTAATATTTCAAAATTAAAACTTTTAATTAAATTTTAAATTTCAAAACTTGAGGACAAGTTTTGAAACCTTTCAAAACATTTGGGTTTAACTATTTAAATTTCAATAACCAAACCTTTTAAGTCCAAATTTAAACTATAAAACCTAAAGGGTGTAATTTAAAACTTTTTCAAAAATTACTAGGTTAAATATTTGAATCAAAATAATCCTATATTATCCATATTTAACCAAATCCATCAATTTTGATAAGTATAAACATACCAATCATGAAAAATCGATTTTAGGCAAGAAAAACGAGTTTTGGTAATTATCCTCATCAAAAACTGGCCAAAAAATCGAAAATCTCGGCATCAGCACACTGGACTCGCCGAGTTCATGCAACTCGTCGAGCCCATACATGGACTCGCCGAGTCGGTTTTGCAAACAGAAAAAATTCGACTTTTTGATCCTTTGGCAGTTCACTTTTGCATCTATTCAACTAGAAAAACGACCTAGTCTCTGATACCACTGTTGGGTTATAAGCATAACATCAATCCTATAGTGTTCATGCAACCCTAATTGCTTTGATCTAGGTTTTTCTAATTTGAACATACAACATTGAATACCAAAGCAATAAAACCTAATCTAGCATGCTTATTTCGAAATTGACATAATAAACAAGTTAGAAACTTTACCTTAATTGTTATATAGCAATAACAATCACAATCCTTCTTGATCTTGACTTCTGAAATCCTAGTGCCCCAAGTGTTGCACCTCTAATGGAGTCACAAACACTCTTCCAACAAGATGACTTGGGAGAGAAGGATTTTTGGCTAGGGTTTCATTCTTGAATGCATAGGCCGAAAATCCCCTTGTATGGGGTCCTATATATAGTTGTGGCTGCTAGGGTTTTCAGGTGGGAACCCTAATACCTAACTTAGGCAACAAGCAGCCCATGAACTCCTTCCTTAGAGCCTATGGACGAAATCTTATGGGCTTCCCCATAAATTTCGTCAACTCCACTCTATGGAGTTCATCAGCCCATTTATGCAACTATCAATGATTTGCATAACTGTCCCCAATTATTTAATCAGTCTCTTTTAACCACTAAATTAATTCCAAATTAATTTCTTATAAATACTAATTAAATAATATGATTTCCAAACAATATAGTAATCTTGTAATATATTAATAAAACCACTTTGAGTACTAATTTATTATTCATATAATAAATTCTACTCTCTCTCCCCCAATTATTTAATCAATCTCTTTTAACCACTAAATTAATTCCAAATTAATTTCTGATCAATACTAATAAAATAATATGATTTCCAAATAATATATTAATCTTGTAATATATTAATAAAACCACTTTGAGTTCTAATTTATTATTCATATAATAAATTCTACTCTCTCTCTCATCTTGTCATCCTATCAAGTTGAATGAGTGAAGGCAACCTAAAAGGACCATGCTCATAATCGGGCCAAGTACATACCAATAATAGTTATGGACTTAGACACTTAATCCAATAACTTCACCCAATAATGGCATAAATGGTCCTTCTCTATGAAAATCATTTCGAATCAGATCCCATATTTTACCATTTAAATCCTCCCTCCTGAAACCCTTTACAAATTAAGTCCGAATTTTACCAAGCAGCCCCTCCCTCTACAAATCCTTTTCAAATTAGGTCTAGAATTTACTCTTTAGCCCCTGCTTCCATAAATCCTTTCATATTAGGTACAAATGATACCAAACACCCCCTGTCTTCTAAAAATCTTTACAAAATAAATCCCGGAACTTACACTTTTAACCCCCAACTTCTAAAATTGACAATTAACTCCTTGAAACCAATACCTTGCTAAATTATTATTGATTTTAGGGCTACTATTCGTTCATTAATTCATTTATTTATTTATTTAAAAAACAGGGTGTTACAGGTAAGTACACTGCTTGTCGTCCATTTTCGGCTTTCATCTAGACTTTCTCCACAAACAAATGATGAAATTAATCAGATGTCAAAGGTTCCTTATTCAAGTGAAGTTGGATAGTTAATGTATTCTATGGTTTGTTCCCATAGAATTATCACATGCTTTGAGTGTTGTAAGTCGTTTTATGGCTAATCCAGGAAAGCAACATTGGAAAGTCGTTCAATGGATCTTCTGTTACCTTAAAGGTGCTTCTACGGCATGTTTGGAGTTTGGAAAATCGACAATTAGGTTATGTGGATATGTTGATTTAGATTATGCAGGCGATCTCGACAAAAGAAGATCTCTTACGGGTTATGTTTTTACTATTGGTGATTGTGTTGTGAGTTGGAAGGCTATACTTCAATATACCGTTGCTTTCTCTACTACGGAAGCTGAATACATGGCTATTTCGGAAGTGTGTAAAGAGTTGACTTGGCTTAGAGGGTTGTATAGTGAGCTATGTGGTGATTTCTCATTCACTACAATTTATTGTGACGGTCAAAGTGTGATATGCCTCACGAAGGATTCAATGTTTTGTTAGTAACTAAGGTTTAGACCCAAGACCTTTAGGGTTTAGTAATTAGGGTTTGAGTATTCTCCATATATTATGTAATTGTCTTTTGAACGATCGAAAAGCAATCTATTATCTTACATGGTATCAGAGCTCTAGGTTAAAACGCTACTGATCACAACCCGCAGTCGCGCCTTTCATCTCCAGTTACCTTTCTTTAATAGCCGTCGGAGGTGCCTTCATTATGTTTCATATTATTTACTTTCATCTCTTTTCCTCCTAAATAATAAAAGAGCCATCGACACCGAATAGAGCTTCTTCAAGGACTTCTTCTACCGCCTCGTCCTCGGATGACCCCTGCCTTCGAGCCTTCTATCTCCTCTTCGGCTGGCCACTTCTTCTTCATATCTCTTTTCCGAGTCAACCTATGATCTGCAGTCATCTTTCTCTATTAACACTATAGTCATCGTTCTCGCCGGAATTGGCCCCATCCGCCGCAACTCAAGCCCTCTTTCCTTCTCGATGCCCTTATTTGCACTCTACTGCCACCAGTTCCATGATCATCCTTGCCGCCGCTCTTCTCTTCTTCTACAACATAACCGCCTCTGGATGCCGCTTCTTCTCTCTTCTTCTTCGACAAGCAATAGTTGTTAGCCGCTATCATTAAAGTTTTGATTCTGTCGTTGTTGTTGTATTCATCTATTTTTTATGTTTTGTTCTTTTGTTTATTTTTCCAATTTAATCATCTCCTCATGATCAAACTATGGGGAGATGTTAGTGATTAAGGTTTTTAGACCCAAGCCCTTTAGGTTTAGTAATTAAGGTTTGAGTATTCACTATATATTATGTAACTGTCTTTTGAATGATCTAAAAGCAATCTATTATCTTACATGTTCCATGAGCGAATGAAGCACATTAACATACACAACCATTACATCAGAAGTAATCAGAAGTAATCAGAGATGTTATCGCCCAAGGCGATGTCAAGGTGATAAAGATTAACACCATGGACAACCCAGCCGGCATGATGACAAAGCCGGTTCCGACCACCAAATTTGAACTTTGTTTTGATTTGGTTGGTATTTCAAATTAAGTCCTTAGGGACTTTTGAACACTATATGTTTTCATTTCTCTCGATGGTTGATGGTTACGTTGTTGAAGATTGGTTTCGACACAAGGTGGAGTTTGTTGGATATGCTCCAAACTATTCCAAAAGTGGTACCAAAGAAATTGACAGTTGTCATATACAACGAGTTACGTTGTTTTTATTTTTCCTTGCCCACCAAGTATAAGAGTTAGATTAAGACTTATTTAGTTATTCATATTTATAGGATATTAGATCATATTTTCTAGATATCCTTTTTCAATTCCCGTTGTACACCTTTGTAACCCTTTTCATAGTGTTCTTCAAAGTGGTTTTTTCCCAATTTCGGGTTATTCCGCTATAAATCCGGTGTTCCTTTATTCCTTATTTACATGTTTGATCTTTACAATACCCATAGTTGTTTTTTTTTTCTTTTTTGACTTTAATTACTCTTCACCGTCAAAAAACCATGAAATCAAAAATCCGATACTAATCATGTTTTACATTATGAAATGCAACAGGAGTGCAACTGCTACCGAAGTATGATATCTAATGGATTCTCAGTTACACCATAACTAAACCGGCGGGTCAGTTTCAAAGAAATTGATTTCTATCAAATTATTTTTTCTACATTGGTCTGGTTTAGTTTCCCATTTTTTAGAGCACCTCTAAGTTACATTTTTTTTTATATGCTACGAATATATGAATTTTTCAGGATATCAAATTTCATACAAAACAGGGAAAATGGCCACCGATAGTGTTGGTGGTAAATTTATTGATATGGGGGACTTAAACACCCCAGCCAAACTACATTACATTACATACTCGAAAATAAAAAATAAAAAATAGAAATTAGATGAAAAAACTATGTCTGTCTAGCCTTCTGCAAACTTGAAATGAACACCACCACCTTCACATAAACCCAATCTCTAAAGCTATCATAAAAGTGAAAAAATGCATGTCTCCCACGACGGTTAAGAAGTAAGCCGCCACATGCTATCCAAAATCCAGTAACAAAACCGATGCCCCCACCAACATAAAACCATATATGAAGTTCATCTACGTCTTCCCCATCACCTTCACTTTCACCAATGACAAGTGGTACTTTTGAACCTTCATCCCGGGGGCATTTTTTGGTAAGGGGAGGTCCACATAGTCCTATCTTTCCATTGTATCTTGAAGTGTGAAAGGACTGGAGTTGAGTGCTGGTTGGGATTCTCCTGACAAGTTATTAAATGACATGTCTAGGTAATTCAATAAACTCATCTGAGACATGCTTGATGGCATCCTCCCTGAAAAACTGTTTCTAGATAAATCCAATGTCAAAAGATTTTTCATCTCACCAATTTTCTGTGGAATCTCTCCAAATAAAGCATTCTTTGACAAGTCCAGGGCAATTAAGTCAGAAAGATTGGTGATTTCATATGGGATCTCCCCTGATAATTTGTTGCTTGACAGGTCAATACTCTTCAACAATTTCAGAGTGGTAAAGAATTCACGTTCATCTCCTTGCCACTCAATCATTGCATGGTCAACATATGTCTCGGAGAAATATGGTATATGAAATTGTACATCTTGTGAGAATCCTTGTTGAACCATGCCCGTAAGATTACTCAAACATGAAGGAATGGTTCCATGGAAATTGTTGATCGACAAGTCCATAATTTGAAGTTTAGCTAATTGACATGACTGTAAGGGGATTGTTCCAAAGAATTTGTTTGATCTTAAGATAAGAACATACAACCCTGATAAGTTTTCCCCAATCCAGACAGGTACATTAGCAGAAAACTTGTTGGCCCCCAAATTCAACGAGATTAAACTCGTGCAATTCTTTAAAGACAAAGGCAATTCTCCAAAGAAGTTGTTCTTGTATAAATACAACACTTGGAGTTCTATTAAAGATCCAATAGAGGGAGGAATCCTTCCAAAGAGATTGTTGTGTCCGAGATTAAGAACTCTTAGGTCTTTAAAATGCCACAAACAGTCGGGGAGTTGTCCCGTTAATGAGTTATGAGAGAGGTCAAGAAATGATAATAACCCACCAACAATTTGGCATATAAACGAGATTCCTCCGGAGAATTTGTTTCTAGAAAGATTTAATACCGACATAGTGGAAGAAACATTCGGTATTGGACCACAAAAGTTGTTGGAGCTTAAATCTATAATTGAACCGTTGGCAAAATTTGATGATAAATCTGGTACTATCCCGCTAATGTCATTGGATGAGAGATTCATATATGCTATTTGAGAAGGCGACATGTCCCAAAACTCCAGAGGGGTTGTGTCTGAAATTCCAGTATTGAAAAGATTAAGAATGGTAAGATTTTTGAGTGTCTGAATCCATTTGGGGAAGCGAGGCCCTAGATTGCAAGAGCTCAGATCAATAACTTGTATATAAGAAAGGTTTGACATGTGATTTGTGGAAGGAACTTCTTTGAGTAGGTTTTTTGAAAGAAATACGATAGAAAGCTTCGACTTTCCGATCTTTTCAGAGATAGCACCACTAAGAGAATTGAAAGAAACGTCAAGTAATGAAAGCATAGGCAGTTCCCACAGTTTCTCACTTATACTTCCATTTAAGTGATTATGACACAAGACCAAAGATTGTAGGGATGAAAATTTTTGGATTTCATCGGACAATGACCTTGTAAATTGGCTTCCATCAGCAGACAATTATTTTAATGCAAGCGATGTGCATCCAGACAAGTTGTTGAGAAAAACAGGAAATTTGATAACAGCAAAGTTGTTCTTGAAGTACAACTGTTCCAGACAACAGAGGTTACCAAGATATCTGGGTCTTGAAGGGGAGCTTTGAAAAGAAGGAGAGCAAGTCTCTCATTATCCAAACACTTTTTCATATTAACACCATTTCTATCATCTCCTTCCAATAGGCTGGCAGTTGTAGTCACAATGAGTAGCAAGAGAAGTGAGAAAATTATAAAAACACGGGAATTCATAATGTCAATGCCAAATGTTGGTAATTTTCTGGTTTTTTGTATTGATGCCTATGTGAACATGCCCCCATGAGTGTTTATATAATAGTCTCAAATATGAAGATGAATGATTCTAATCCTGTGGCCTCAAATCAGTGGGGCATACAATACTTAATTTCCATGCAAATTAAAACCCACCTATAAGAAAAAACAAAGACTTGGAATTGGAATTAAATGCCTCAAAGTATACGTTCAAAGACTTACAAGTCTTGGTAGTTTGGATTGATTATAGAGTATAGATGCCTCAAAGTATACGCTTCAAAGACTTTACAAGTCTTGGTAGTTTGGATTGACTATAGAGTATAGATACCTCTTTTCCCATCTTGTGATATTTTGCAATTTGTATTTATTATCTATATCTTTTCTGATCGTTTGATATCTTTTTGGTATGTGATATAAATCCCAAAATGTAAAACTAATGAATCATTCAATCAAATACAAATCTACCCATGAAAATAGTAATAATATGATTTTAGGTTTAATCAGTTAATGACTATGAAATGAACTTTCTCACTTAGATTAACTAGAACATGTATCCACATTCCATAATACACATGGTATTTTACATTGTTAAAAACGATATTAAGATGATTAAAAACACATTTGATTTATAATTAATACAATTAACTGATTAAACCTAATAAAAATACCAAATCACACAAGTTAAATAGTAGACAGATTAGGGAATCTTGAAAGAAAAAAAAAAGCACAAATATGTTAAGAGTTACTCGGGTCTCCTCATTTTGATATTGAGAGGAGTTTCCTTATAAGACCGGACCTTTTCGGCAGCCCTACGCGATGGTCTACCAACAAACAACATTCTTTGTGATTCTATGCCTTCTTTTTTGGTCAACTGAAGTTTGACCATCTTCATCCATCTTAACATCTTCAATCTCAAACAACTTTTCATCTTCTTCTGATCTGAATCTAGCTGTCTGCCTTCTCACACAACGCCTGAACCCAAAAAATATACTTATCAGCTAACAGAATTTCATACCAAATAATCATACAAAGTAAAAATTCAAAACTTTCTCTAATAATATTTGTTCATGAAAATAGTAATGAAACCACACAAACCGCACCAAATAACACGGTTTAGATGTTTTGTGGTGCGTTTTAGAGTTTTGACTCTAAATAGCACCGTATAACAAAGAGTAAATTACAGTTTTGGTCCCTATGTATGTCAAAAAAAAACATTCAAGTTTGGTCCCAAAAAATTCTTTTGCAATTCTGGTCTTTATACCACAAACTATTTTTGGATCAAAATTGCAAAAGTCAGTCATACTTAGGGTCCGAAAATAGTCATTTTAGTTTGAATAATGACCAAGAACGTTACAAGAACCTCAAAGGACCAAAACTGCAAGAGAAAACTTTATGGGACCCAGGGACTAAAAAACTAATTTATTTCCCATGTTTAGGAGAACTTAAAAATAATGCAAGCTCATTAGGTATTTTAAAATTATTACCTTTTATTCTCAGCCGTTTCTTTCTCAGAAACTTGTTCATCTGTAGTCATCCAGGGGCCATGTGCTACAAAAAAAAAAAAAAAAAAAAAAAAAAAAAAAAAAAAAAAACAGCATACAAATCAATACCAGAAATGAAAAAACTCAGTTATTCAAAATTCATCCTTTAGTTTTTATAGTATTTACATTGGCTTCTTATTGGACGCATACGTCTATTTGCAGTTTGTTGTTTGGTAGCAGTGTTGTCACCATTCTTTATTCACCAAAACCAAAAAAAAAATTGTATTAGTTAATGATGCAAAATAGGAAGAGTATTTTAATAAATATTTAAAAAAGAAATAAATAAATAAATCACCTGTGATATATCCTTCTGATCATTCGTCTCACGCTGTGCTTGAAGCTCCAAATTCATGGTTTTAAGCAAAGCATCTTTGCAGGTGAGTTGATGTTGCAGTGTTTTTAACTGTTATGATAAAAAAAAAAGTATAGAGTAAGTTACATTTTTGGCCCCTGCTATACCTGATTTATTCAATTTTGGTCTGAAAAAAGTTCTCTTGCAAGTTTTGTCCTTTGAAGAGGTTTTTGCAACGTTTTTGGTCCATGTTCCAAATTGTTATGGACCAAAATGTTACAAGAACCTCAAATAAGGACCAAAAATGCAAAAAACAGCTATAGTCAGGGACCAAAAACGTTTTATTTTACTAAGAAATATATGTAAGATACAGATACAGAAGTTTGCGTTTTGCAACAAAACTTACCTTCTGTTTACCTAAATTAAGCTCCTGTAAATCAAAAATGAAATGTTAAAGTCAGCATTTATTATTTAATTTTACTTCATTTACTTAAAAATTAATAAATAAATATAAAAATACATAAAACTAACCGCCATCATATGGCTGTTTGATTGAGCAAGACTCCAATTTTGCAACTGTGTTTTCTGAACAATAATTCGTAGCTTCTGAAGCTCCACTCCATTCACCTCTATCATTTTGCTGTTGTCATTTAGAAAATTTAAGAAAATCGTGTTATTAATATTAACTTGAAAGACAGAAGCTTCAGTAATAAGAACAAGTATAACAGACTTTAAAACATATACTCAATTATAACATTGTCATCTAAATACAAAGCAATACCACAAATATTTTGCCCAATATCACATGTTCTTGCTAATTCTAGTGTTTTTACAATGGTTTAAAAAGGATAAAGTTAGTACATAGGAAACACAAGAAAGGGGAGAATTACTTTTTGTCTGTGATAAGCTTCATAAGCTCTGCATTTTCCTGTTCGTTCATTACAAGAATTCCAATTAGGAAAAATCAATCAAACCTGAAATGTATTTGGCAAACAAAGCGGGATTTTACCTTTAAGAGATGATCGACGTGGTTTTTAGCCGAATACAATGAATCGTCTGGTGGAAGAATTTGATCAAATAGAGGTGGCGATTTGGAATTTTGCTGGTAATTTGTGATATCAGACAACCTCTTTCTTAACGTTTTCCCAAAAGAGGATCTTTTTGCCATTTTATCACCTCTCATTCCCTCCGCAGATCTCCAACTGGGTAGTTTTGGGTCTCACGATAAACCCTGCGTAAACTAAACAAAAAAGAGCAAATGTTTTCACAAATTGAAATCTAGGGTTTGCTTTGAAACGCTCTACGGAACCGGGATAAATCAAAGAGCGCCAGATCGCGAATTGGGTTAATTTGGGGGGAAACTGTTTGTTAAATCAATTGTTAAAGATCGAAAATAAAAGTGAGATTCTGAAGAAACCCTACTACGATTTTGTGCAAGATTTTGAATGAAGAAAATGGATTCGAAGAGGAAAAAGAAAAGGTGAGTTTAAACTGGAGGTTCGTATGGCCCAACGGCTGTCCGAACCTAATTTGAACTTTAAAAAAATTAAAGTGCGGATGAATTTCATTTTATACCCTTCATGTTTGGTCTATATTCGTATACACCCCCTCAATTGACTTGAGCGCCAAAAAATTACTATTGGTCTTATACTTTTGAGTAAATTACCAAAATCGTCCCTATGGTTTGGTCAAAATTACGTGTTTCGTCCCAAATATTTTTTTTGCATTCGGACTGTCCCTGTGGTACTCATTTGTTACGGTTTTGGTCCCTAGCAGACGTGAAAAGACGATATTACCCTAATCTATTTATTTTTTTTTCATTTGCTTATTATTGATTTGTTACTAATCTTTTAAAGAAAATTGTTTAATAAACTCATCATTCACAGTTTTCTAACTACCACCAACACCTCCGCTAAACCAACCCATAAAACCAACCAGTCACTACCATTGTCATAACACCACCGCTACCCTTACTTATCATCATCGGAACCACCACCTCTTTCATCAAAGATCAACACCATCTCCGCCATCAAAGATCACCACCAGCACTAACTTTGCCCACCGCCACCTCCCATTCTTTCCATCTAAAAATTAAACAAAAATCTAGAACCCGAACCCCAAACCAAAATCCGAAAATTGAAGTCTCTAATCGAATTCGATGAACCAGAACAAATCAAACCCCGTAAATACTTAGTGTCTAAATCGATGCAAGTGATGCTCAAACCCATAAATTAAACCCAAATATCTTGCCTAGAGATTAAACTCATAAATCATGGATGAATCGATTCTCAAATCATAAATCATTGATGAAATCAAAACCCCAGAAACCATGGATGAAATCAAAATCAAACCATTCAAAACCAAACAAACCTGATGAGCTTCAAACGGAATGAACCTGAAACAAGAAATCGAATCCATAAATGGTGGCTTGGTCGTTACAAAAATCAAATCCAAAAACCTGGCACTGATGAGCTTAAATCCTCAAACATTGCTTCGATGAACCTGAGCCCCCAAACCAAAATCCAGAAACTAAAGTATCTAATCGATAAGGTGAACTAAATCAAAAGCAAACCTATGCAAATGGCGCTGTTGTTGTGCTTTCTTGTTGTACATATTTTCGGCTACTTTGGCAGTGGTGGTTGTTTCTGGTATGGCGGTGGTGGCTGATCTAGGAGTTGTTTGATACAGAGAAAGAAAGAGGTGAGATATTTAGTGGTAGTCAAAAGGAACGTTGGTTATGGTTTAGCGTCCTCGATCTCGTTCTAGTGATGGATTCTCTTGTTAAATAAGCACATCGGAAGAGGTGACAGGCGTAGAAGAAAGACGACAGAGTATGCTGGCGTGAGAAAAGAGGAAGAAGACGTCTAGGTCATGGTCACCGACTCAGAATTAGGGTATATGTCTATAGTTGTACGTTAGCTTAAAGGGGTTGTATTCTTGTTTATTTTATAAGAATAAAAGAAATAAATAAATATTAACGAATATAAAAAAAATAGAATTTTTTTGAAAAGAAGGGTAATATAATCATTTTAATACTGTTAGGGACCAAAACCGAAACAAATGAATACCACAGAGACATCCCCATTTTTACGGCAAGAAAAAGACCGATTTGTTTATGCTTATTAGATTAGAGTATTGTTTTAAAAATATTAATTATGCGGAATTTGTCCCAAAAACATGATAATAATGTTATCAAAGCATTTTTGAAGAAATGTGTTTTATTTATAAAACTTGGGATGTTATCGTTAATACAGAAACATAAGCATAAAGAGATATTACATGCCTTACAATATTTATACTAGAAGCCTACAAACTCCTTAAATCTCTCAGCAGACACAGACTTCGTACCGCTACTTATGATACAAAGAAGGTAAGTGATTCAGGTTGGGAAACCGAATGAGTACATATGGATTTCAATCTCACAACATTATATATATATATATATATATATATATATATATATATATATATATATATATATCTTAAAACCCGTAATATACAAATTCACCTCATATAAGCAATCTACCCCATCCCGTCGATCCTCACATTTTAATCATATACAACGACATAATCCATACTCTCGGATTCAGAAATAATTGGCTTTACTTAATCCATACTCTCGGATTGGGAATAAATGACTATATTTAATCCTTAGTCTCGGATCAGGGACAAATGTCTATGTCTAGTCCATACTCTCGAATCAGTGACAAATGGTTATGACTAATTCATACTCTTAGACCAGGAATGAATGACTATACCTAATCCATACTTGGATTAGTGACGGATGTCTATACCTAATCCTTACTCTCGGAATAGGAATGAATGTTTATACATAACCCATACTCTTGGACCACTAACAAATGACAATATGTAATCCATACTCTCGGACCAGGGGAAAATGTCATAGTTCTACCTTCCGTGTATATTTCACTCGTATTCATAAGGAGATGTTACCCAATATCTTAATTAAACTTAGGCCTCCTTTGTAAGTCTTATCTTATATCTCGGTAAGACTATGATGCTTAGCTCCTAATACTTTTATTATTATTGTTGTTGTTGTTGTTATTATTATTATTATTATTATTATTATTATTATTATGAAATAATAAATATATATCTTAACGCATATAGAACCATATCTGGTTCACATATCAAGTACATTTCTAGCACATGTTCCAGCAAATAAGCATATGTTTCACATGTAAACCCTTTGACAGATATTTAATACTTTGATTAATACTTGTATTAAAACCATGTTCATGAAAGGAACTATCCATTCACTTGATAAAATTTGATGCCTCAGAATTTGGGCAGAACTTCACCTTAGCACTTTAACTTTTCTTTTGATGTAACCTAAGTATAATGATTACTAAGTCTTAGTCTAATACTCATGGTGACTAATGATAGTCTAGATTCCTCACTAATCCTATGAATATTGAGAGTTCTATCAAATAAGGATCAGCCAGGCAGGACATGAGTTGGGAGGCAGGATCATTTCGACATATAGCTTTTCTGAAATCCAACAACCAAGCGAACGTGAACATTCTAAGCACCTCTCTCGTAAGTAGATCAATCAGTATAATGACATGGAATTACTGATAAATCATATATATAGGTCCATAATAACGACTTATGACTATAAATATAAGTTACACTAAAAGAAATAAAGTGTAGCTTAACTTATAGAGGTTTTAGAGAAAACCGGGGAAACGTGCGGACAGAACTCTGACACGAATACTCTTTTCGTTAGGCTCCTAGAGTTCTAGAGACTCTTCTAAAAATATTCTAAAAGTTGGGAAGAAAACCTTATTCGAATCTAGCGAGATTAGAGAGATATTGAAAGGATTTGTGTGGAAAATGACCAAAACTCGACACCATCTTATAGGGGGAAGAGGAGCGCACCGCACAAGGGCTAGGAGCGCGTCACACCTAGTCACCTTACTAGCTCCTCAGCCGCCCTGCCACATGTCGAGCTCCGATCCTTCCACCTCGTTCCTTCTAGAAACAAGCTACGTGGCCAATTCTTGTGGAGCACGTGTCGCAACCGTGCGGTGGCACGTCACCTTGACTCTTGGGGGATTGGGCGGCGAACTTCCCACGTGGCACACTCCGATGCTTCCACATCACCAGGTATTTTCCTGAAATCTTCGGACGGCCATAACTTTTGCAGACGAGCTTCGTTTCCGACGTTCTTTATATCCCTGGAATCCTATCAACAAGCTCTACAACTTTCATTAAGGTCTCAACATCTAGTTCTTGCTCTAACAAAAATTCATATTTAGACCGGTTTAGGCTGTTAAAGTCCATGCGAAATTCATAACTTCTTCATAAGAACTCGTTCTTGATTGTCTTTATATTGACAGGTTCATATTTACGAGATCATCGATTCTCGTTTAGATTGTCTTCATACGAACTTCCTCTCACGAAGTCAGATTTTGGATGTTCTCTATATACACACTCTCATTTTAACGACTACTATGACTTTCATTTAGATCTCTTAGGCTAAAAAGCAATTTATCAAAAATTTACTTTTTACAATACGTAGAGTCGTGTCGATTTAATCGCAAAACTTCGAAGAAGCGTAACTTGTTCATAGGAAGTCAGATTTTAGTGTTCTTTATATGTACGGAATCCTTTTCACATATAATATAACTTGGTTTAGATTATTAATCCTAAATAATCTTCTATCAAAAAGTCATTTTTAACGTTTTTTATATTTTAATTGACTAGCCCGAATCTGTGGGTTTTACAATTATCTCCACCTTGGGATGATTATGTCCCGAAATCATCAATAAAACATGTCTTGTACAATGAATCAGCATGTTACCTTTCCATCCAAGGTAATAACCGTACCTCTTATGTCTTTTCTATTAAGTTTCCAACTCTTAGACTTCTTGACTGCTAACAATGCTCAACCTTGCACCTGATCTTCCTTCTAAATTCAATCTCCATTGGAGGCTCCTGCTCCTTCTAGGATGATAAAGTCTTTACTTCGACTACTGTAATGGATCGAACGGTCATGCTCTAATGACCTTTCATCGAATGATGCAACGACTAAACTCATGTCTCTTTGAGTCAGACTCTAGCATGGAGGATACCTTCTTCACGCTCTAATGTGATATAATCACATACTAGCAGGTAGCATTTCTAGCTACATGTTGCTTAGTGTTAACGACGATCGCGATACCTCTATTGATCGCTTCAGTAATCTTTTTCTTTAATCTAAATTCGGACGCTACATCGAACTTACTTCGTAAATTAGTCGGACTCAATTCGATATGACCATTAGGTTCGAGATAATATTTATCTTTGTAGTCAGTAGTGAAACAAAGGTAATGATGGAAATGATCAAAATAACTTAACTACTTAGAGACTTTAGTAACACTGTAACTTTCCCTGATCCAAGTGTGAGTCCTCTGCTTCGGGTAGCATAGGTATCTACTACCT